CCCCAAAACCCCAAAACCCCAAAACCCCAAAACCCCAGACCTTGGTAAATGGTTGAATAATATCACAAGCTTTCAGCTTCTCTGATCTCAGCAATTAATTTTAGGTGATTTATTTTTATTTAATTTTTATGTATTTTTGTTCTCTGATAATGATATTTAAAGTCACAATTTCTATCTGTAAACCTTTAAAGTTAAACTCTTTAAAACACTGTTTATCCTTTTACTGAATTAGATTTTCCATAATTTATTCTGTACAATTTTGAAGACACTGGGATATTGGGAGAAGTCCTAAATATCACCTGATCGTTCTCCAATATTTCATAGTTGATTCAATAGTCAATGTTTGATAATAACAAGGGGAGAGCTATTTTGAGAGTCAGCTTTGCATAGGCTTGGCCAGGATAACTTCTAAGACTGATCCAAAAAGAAATATATCAAAGTGAGTCTCTTGCTTTTCCAGTAAATGGTGATTTAAAATACTCTAATTCAGAATTAAATCTTCCAAGGATGAACTTTAATGGCTCATGGCAATATTTTAGATTGTATCGAAACCCGAAATACTGATACTCATTAAGTTCCCTTTTGGTATGGGAACTCCTTAGATTTCAAAATTCTCTAATGTTCTACATGAGACTGTCTAAGAAGTGGGTACATTAAGTCTCATAGCTTGTTTAATAACATAATCTGCATACTCACAACCACCAAAAATATCTTTAATAAGTTAATTCTTTTGAAGAAGAACTACTTTTTTAGTGATCCCTTGCTCTCATAAACTTCTTTATAACTCCTGGGTTGTTTTTGATAAAATATAGCATTCCTGATGTTGTCTGGGAAGTTGTATCAGATTCAGCAAATAGCAGGCGAAACAAATCTGTCATTAGTTTTTGTTCTGTGTGGACTTTCTTAGATTTTAATTTCCAATACAGAGAATCTTTATCATCAGATTTCTGTAAGAATTTCTTGATTCAATTTTCCATCCTCCTGACATTTCTCATTATTCTCCAAGAAGAGTCTCAAAGGCTGTTTCCGTTTATAAGCAGAAATACAATCCCAAGAGGATTGAAATAGCCCCAAAGAGTGTCTTCAACAACTTTGTTCATCATATAGTGCATGTTGATCTTATCAAATTCACTTTTTTCGATTTCGTATTCTAATATTTACTAAAGAGATCAAACTCTTGCCTAAATAACACTTTGGACATGAAAAGAAACTGGATGTATGAGAACTGCTTAGTGAAGTCAATGATCTTTCCTTATCTTCACTAAGATGCTACTTCTTTCATTCATTGAACCAATTTTTGGATATATCCTGATGTGAAGTTCATGCCCACTGCTTTCATTGCACTTTGCTTTCTCATCTTTCAATGAGCATTGGACAGCGGCTGTGCGACACTTCTGTAAAAATTTCAATCAGCTTATCTATGAAGATATGATATCTGTATATCTTCTTAGGCTAAAGCTGCTTTATCTCAGCAAAAGCTTTAAGCGAGAACATCATAAGCATTGGAGCTGATCTAATGGATTTTATGTAAACATCTGGTTTTGAATCTGATAGAGCATATTCAGCATAATACCAATATGCAAATTTGTCATTATCAACATTCTTCTCTACATGCGCATGATCTCCTTTGGAAAGAATTACAGAAGGACTAAACCTTATTTAGGATATCTTTTGTACTTCCACTAAATCAGGAGCGGCATCTCTATGATCTTATTGATTAAATAGCCGACTAAGGAGATTACTCAGATCATTCATAATAAAGGTATCTTAGAGAAATCTTGGATAAAGAAGATCATTTTTAATTATTTCAAATGAATCAATTAATTGGGGTTTTGGGGTTTTGGGGTTTTGGGGTTTTGGGGTTTTGGGG